GAGACCCGTTTATGACTCTCTCGCACGCAGGCGCTCGCAGCTGGAAAGGCGTGGGCAACCAGATGCACATGGGGATCTCTGCTTTGAATATGTTCTCTGCCTTCGCTTCTCCCTCATTCCTTCTTCATTATTTCTCCTTCTCCTCCTTCTCCTCCTCCTCCCTCGTCGTCGACCAGGTCGATGTCGACGGCGACGACGACGACGACGCCGACGACGCCGACGACGGTGGCGGCGACGACGACGACGGCGACGATGACGACGACGAGGAGGAGGAGGAGGAGGAGGAGGAGGAGGAGGAGGAGGATGCCGACGACAGAGACGACGACGACGACGCTGACGCCGACGCCGACGCCGACGCCGCCGCTGACGCCGCCGCCGACGACGACGACAGCGGCGACACGTCGAAGACAGGTCGGCAGCCGCGTCGCGGTGCTGGAGGGCCGCCACTTTGAGCAGTTCAGTGCCCCCCGCTGCTGCCGCCCCGCGCCCCGCCCCCTCCTGGGAGCAGGCAGCTCCGACGAGCTGAGACTGATGGGGGGGGGAGGAGGAGGAGGAGGAGGAGGAGGAGGAGGAGGAGGAGGAGGAGGAGTAGGAGGAGGAGGAGGGAAGAATGGGGGGGGGGAGGAAATCCGGGGCAGCGTTAGGGGGGGGGATGGGGGGGAGGCTCGGGGGGACGCAGCCGCCCCCGATTTCCCACTCCTCGTCGATGGGGGCCTGGTAGCTGATAGCCCACTCCGCCAAGGAACGTGGGGATTCGCTAGCGGGAGCCTATCGCAGATGAATCGGCGATGTATCGCCGATTCAAGCTCGATGTTCCCCCCTTGAGCTGGTCCCGCCCCCCAACGCCTCTGCTCGGGGAGGGAGGGAGGTTCTGTTGTCCTTCACCTCCGCTGGTTTCTGGTCGGCGGGCCAGTGACCGACGAGACACAGACCATTTTGGGGTCTTGGGGGCTTGGCGGGCTCTGCAGACCTAGGCCAAAAAGGGGCCAGAGGGCAACGATCGGCTCCATTTGGCCGCATTCGGAACGTAGGAGAAGGAGGACAGGGAGGCTTGGGGAAGGAGGAGGAGGAGGAAGAGGAGGAGAAAGAGGAGGAGGTTTGCTTTTTCAGTTTTGGTTTAATTCCCCGTAAGGGCTTGGGTCCAGGGTTCTCTCTGTCCATCGGGCCCTTGGCCTTAGACCAGAGGGGTGTCTCGAATGGCCAAGTGGATTCTCCACGTTGGAATGCTTGCGCGGATGGGGGTGGGGTCGACCGTGCGTCTGGTATGCGTTCATTCCGAATTCGTTTTCAAGCGTGCAGGCCCCCAGGGGACGGACAACAAGCGATTGGCGGCGACTTCATACGTAAATGTACTTGCGGGGGGGTATCGAACATGCGTCTAGCACCGTGTGTTTGGCACGCTTTGTGATGTATCTCAGCGCCAGTGGGGGTATCCTACATGCGGCTGGCGGATGAGGGGGGTATCAAAGATGGGTCTGGGACGCTTGAATGTGGTATCGTTGAGCGAATTTGACATCCAACATGCGGCCGGCGTACTCTTCGCATGTGCTAATGCGCGCGGGGATATCCAATTAAAACAGGGCTAGGATCGGGATAAATCGCTCCAGAGCGTTCCGGAGCGCTCTCAGAGCGTTCCGGAACGCTCTGGAGCGGCCGCGGCGCCCAATACATTTTCCAAACCCGCCGATTCTCAGAGATTTCGAGTTATCCCGATCCGATTTTGTCCCGATCCTCGCGTCTTTTCACCAATGTACGTCTGGTACAGGTGCACGTGGCACGTGTTTTCGCTGTGCCGTGTGTAGGCCGACAGAGGTGCCCAACATGCGGCCGGCGGACTCTCCACAGAGCGCTGCTCGCATGGAGGGGGGGGTATCCGACATGCGTTCGGCGCGCGTGGCGTGGGTACGTGTCTCCGCGCGCAGAGGCCCCCAGGGATGTGCAGCATGCTGCGGGCGGACCCTCCACGCGCCAAAATATGTGCGGGGAGGGGAGAGGCTTCCGCATGCGTTCGGCGCGAGTGAGTTCGATACGTGTCTTCAGGCGTGTACGCCCCCTGGGGGTATCCAGCGTGTTATCAGCGGATTCCCCACGCGTGGAAACTCGTGCGGGGAGGCAAGGGTGTCGAAAATGCCTCTGGCACCCGTGCACTTGCTGGCACGTGCTTTCACTTGTGCAGGCGTCACGGGGTGGGTATCTAACGTGCTGCAGGCAGTTTCGTCACAGCTTTGGTGCGCGCAGGGTGGGAGGGTATCCACGTCGCGTTCGGCACGCGTGAATTTGGCATGTGCTTTCACGTGTGTAAGTGCCAAACGTCAGAGGAGGACAAGTCACCCCTACCGCTACCCTTCGCCTGTTTTCCCATGTTTTGCTTCCTGGGAGGCCCTCGTCGCCACCGCTTGATTCGCCTCGAATAACGCACCCTGGGAGAGGTCCAGGGAGTAGCGGTATCGGTACCTCTTGGTTTCCTCAAAGTGGGGTATCCAACATGTGGCTGGCGGATCAGGGTGGTATTCTTCACGCTTCGCGCATCCCCACCAGCACATTCAGAAGCCCTGCCCATGAGATCTGACGGGAAAACGGGACGACGAGGCACATGTAGTGAAACAAAGCGGGCAACCAGGGTGAACAGAGAGATCTCTGGGAGCAAGGGGGTGGCCTTGGAGGGCTTCTTCGGGCCATTCCTGGGACCCGGGTGGCGGCGAGGGAGTGAGGAGGAGGAGAAGGAGGAGGAGGAGGAGGAGGAGGAGGAGGAAGACGACGACGACGACGACCACGACGACTAGGAAGAGGAAGGGGAGCAAAATGGAAAAGAAGACGATGAGGGCAAGGATGAGGACGAGGACGAGGAGGATGAGGATGAGGTTGAGGATGAGGAGGATGAGGAGGAGGAGGAGGAGAACAATGTGGACGATGACAAAGCCTTCAAAATCGCCTGTTGGAGCCCTCTTGGGACTCTTTTCGGGGATCTCGGGGTCCTCTTGGGGCTCTCTTGGGGCCCTCTTTGGGGCTCTCGATCCAATAAGGGGGGTCCTCGATTTCCGTCCACCCCGCAAGAACCCTCGAACTCGCCTCTTGGGGTTTTCTTGGGGCGCTCTTGGCCGCTCTCGGGCGCTCTTGGGGCCCTCTGGGGGGTCTCTTGGGCCCCTCTTGGGCCTCTCTTGGGTCATCTTGGGGCCAACTTGAGACCTCAAAAGCGCATCGGAAGCGAAACATCGAGAAGGCACACATCTTCGATTTTCCTTGGGGGGGTCCTGACAGGGGGCTCCCAGAGCACTTGAAACCGTCCTGTGGACCTCGTCGGGCTCTTGGAGGTATGTCGGAAGACATCTTGAACCATCTTCTGCTATCTTGAGCCGCCTTGGAGGCTATCCTGGAGCATCGGAGGCCCTCTTGGAGCCATCTCGGGCCATCTCGGACGCTCTGACCCCTCGCGGACTTCCGAAGAACCTGGGGAGGCGAACATGCATCTGGCACGCGTGCATTTGGCACATGCTTTCGTGTGTGCAGGCGACGTGGGGGTATCCAACGTAATGGAGCGGGGTGGGGTCGCGCCTCCCTCGTCTTGAATCTTCCTGGGATTACGAGAGGCACATTTGGTCACTGGGCCTCTGGGCCAGTGCGCTTGCGGCCAGTGGTTTTCGAGAACCCCTCTTCATGATTTTTTGGTACGGAAAGATTTTGCTCGCCCGCATTATTTTGGATGCCCCGCTGGGGGCTACACGCGCGATGACACATGTCGAGTTCTAGCGTGCCGCGCGCGTGTGCGCGTGTGATGAGTCCGCCGGCTATGTAGGAGCCGCGAAAGAAACGTGTCCTGCGGCACATGGGGTCCGAGCTGCTCTCGCCGTCCTGCGGCCTCTTGCGGCCCCGCCTCCTCCGGGACGAGGGAGGCCCATCCGAGGGTTACCACTCACCAAACCACCCCAACCCAACCCGAAGGCTCAGATTTATCCTCGATTTCCAGTGGGGGGGGGGGTCGTGAAACATCGAACAAACACCCGTGGAACCCTTACCCCCCCCAACCCGAAATTCGGGTCTTCGGGTTGGGTTGGGGTGGTCGGAAGAGGGCTGGATAGCTCGGAAGAGGGCTGCCCGCCCAAAATGGGACCGGTTCCCACTTGAACCAACATGGCAACGGACCTCCTACCTCCTCCTCCTCCTCCTCATCATCATCCTCGTCCTCGTCCTCGTGCGTGTCCTCCTCCTCCTCCTCCTGAGGGGCAGGCCTCCAGGGGCCCCCATGGGGGCCCCGCCTCCCCCGGGCCCTCCGCCTTATACCCTCGCGCCGGCACCCGTGGGTCGGACCGCCGCGCGTCTGCCGGCGCTCTCTGGGGCCCCGCCCTGGGCCAGGGCGGCCCCGGGCCCCAGGGTCGAGCGTGAAGTCGGGCGTGTCCCTCTGCAGGAGGGATGTTCAAGAGTGGTAAAAAAATAGTCTGGGGACGATTTCTGAGCATTTTTGAGCATCTTGGGTGTATTTTTGGGGCTATTTTGAACTCTTCGTCCAAGATCGGCCTGCAGGGGACAGGCCCGACCGAAGTCCAGTGGGTGCGCACCCCCCCCACCCCCCGCCCCGACCATGACCCGGGGGGTGTCTCTGTCGAGAGCGGAGGCCGTGGAGTGCTGAGCGTTCCCTGGCCTCTGGCGCGGTGATCTTTGAGGTCCACGGGCGCCCGCGCCTCCGTGCCTCTCCCGGGGGCGTCTGTCTCCTCCCGTCCAGGATTGTTTGTGGCGGCCCTGCCTCCATCGTCCATCCTCCATCCTCCGTCTTCGGTTTCCCATTCTTGATCCTCCATCCTTCACTCTCCATCTTCCGTTCTCCGTCCTCCGCCTTCCATCCCCGCTCCACCTCGCATCCCCTCCCCTCCCCTCGTCTTTCCGAAGCAGCCGTTGGCTCACAGCAGCCTGGCTCAGGCCGTCCCAGCTCACAGCGGTCTGGGTTCGGGCCGTCCAGAAGAAACAACGCACCCCACCGGGAGGCGCGGAGGCCCGGGGAGGCGCGGATGGCTGGTGTTTGCGCGCGGGATGGCAGCAGGCCCTTGTTCGCCCTCGTCGTGCTGGTTCTGCTTCACACGCCTTGCGCCGTCCGAGAGCAGACCGACTTGGACATTCTGGAGACTGGTCTCGGTTCCGGCCTCGGACAACTGCCCGGGGGCATCGGGGTCGAGCTGAACAAGATTCCAGGATTGGGCGGGAAGAGTAAGAAGTCCCTCGTCGAGGCCATCGAGTTCGCGATCGCGAAGCAAGGGAAGGGCTCGTTCACGAACAAGTGCAGGGTCATGGCGAACTGGTTCCGCATGGTCTCAGACGAGACAGGTATCGCTGACGCCGTCGACGCCATGAGAGCGGTGCAAAAAGAGCTCACCGTGCAGAGTTGTCCAGATTTGGATGCCTTGCTCGCGGGATCGTTGCTTCAAACATCCGGCGCCGTCCGACACACCGACTCTGATTCGGACTCCGGCCTCGGAAAACTGCCCGGGAGCATCGGGGTCGAGCTGAACAAGGTTCCAGGACTGGGCGGGAAGAGTAAGAAGTCCCTCGTCGAGGCCATCGAGTTCGCGATCGCGAAGCAAGGGAAGGGCTCGTTCACGAACAAGTGTAGGGTCATGGCGAACTGGTTCCGTATGGTCTCAGACGAGACAAGTATCGCTGACGTCGTCGACGCCATGAGAGCGGTGCAAAAAGAGCTCACCGTGCAGAGTTGTCCAGACTTGGATGCCTTGCTCGCGGGATCGTTGCTTCAAACATCGGGCGCCGTCCGCGAACAGACCGACTCTGATTCGGACTCCGGCCTCGGAAAACTGCCCGGGAGCATCGGTGTCGAGCTGAACAAGGTTCCAGGTCTGGGCGGGAAGAGTAAGAAGTCCCTCGTCGAGGCCATCGAGTTCGCGATCGCGAAGCAAGGGAAGGGCTCGTTCACGAACAAGTGTAGGGTCATGGCGAACTGGTTCCGTATGGTCTCAGACGAGACAGGAATCGATGACGTCGTCGACGCCATGAGAGCGGTGCAAAAAGAGCTCACCGTGCAGAGTTGTCCAGATTTGGATGCCTTGCTCGCGGGATCGTTGCTTCAAACATCGGGCGCCGTCCGCGAACAGACCGACTCTGATTCGGACTCCGGCCTCGGAAAACTGCCCGGGAGCATCGGTGTCGAGCTGAACAAGGTTCCAGGACTGGGCGGGAAGAGTAAGAAGTCCCTCGTCAAGGCCATCGAGTTCGCGATCGCGAAGCAAGGGAAGGGCTCGTTCACGAACAAGTGCAGGGTCATGGCGAACTGGTTCCGCATGGTCTCAGACGAGACAGGCTCTGCGGCGCGCAGAAGCTGTTGGGGCGAGGAGCTTCGTAGAAGCGGTCCATATTTCTAAGAAGCGGTCTGAGAACCCCTGGAGCCCTTCTAACATGCCCCCCTGCCCTCTTAGAAGACCGCCCGCTCGCCCCGCATCCTTCGCGCGCCGCCAGCAGGCACTGCCGACGTTGCCGACGCCATGAAAGCGGTCCAGGGTGCGCTTGTTGTGCAGAGCTGCCCAGACTTGGACACCTTGCTCGAAGGGGCCTAGCGACCGTGCCGCGTGCCCGACTCGCTTCCGGCCCTTCACCCCGAATCGTTCCTCGGCAGTCCCGGGGCCCGGCAGCGGCCCCCCGACCAGCACTCGTCAGGAGCGAAAGAAGGACGTACACGTACATGAATCCAGGCTGGTTTGGAAAGTACGCATTGCCCGAATGTTCGTATCACGCGGCCAGTCTCGCGGATGGAGGGCCCGTGTTCATGTACATAGCTGGGCGCGTACGTCCTTTGTGGGCTCCCTAACTCGGGAGAGATGCGCCGTCCCCGCCCTTCTCTGCGGCGGGTTCGCGTCGTTTATCGGCGGGCAGCGGCCCCCGCCGCCGGCGTGCCACGTCGAACGCCGCCCCGTGGCCCAGATGTCGGTTGACGTTGGAGAATCGAACGGCTTCGGAAGCGGCCGATCGTTCAAGGTTGAGCGATCCCGGGAGGAGGAGGAGGAGGAGGAGGAGGAGGAGGAGGAGGAGGAGGAGGAGGAGGAGGAGGAGGAGGAGGAGGAGGAGGAGGAGGAGGAGGAGGAGCAGTGTCAGGAGCCGACGCCGGGGTCTGCACGGCACGACCCCTGCCGTATCCGGGTCCCTGCGGCGCAGCTGCCACCGTGCCAGGGCAGCCCTGTGTGCGCCGACACGTCGAGCTCCGCCTGGAGGGCCGTCGCGTGGGGCACCTCTCGTTTTGCCACTGCTCGGGGAGCTCTCGCGTGGAATCTTTGGGGCCGTGCTGGGGCTGTCCTCGGCTCCCGCGCGGCAGTCTTGGGCTGTCTGGGGCCCTTCTGAGGCCGTCTTGGGGCCCTATTGGACCGTCTTGGGGCTTGACTGGCACTCGGGGGGGTCTCTTGAGACCGTCGTGGGACCGTCTTCGGACCTTCTTGGGCCACCTGGGGGCCTTCTTCGAATGTCTTGGGTCCTTTCGGACACCCTCTTGGCTCCGCTGGCTTTTTTTCA